AGAAGGTCCTTGCACTTACAATAACTGCACAATCCAAAACAGAGACCAAACAGGTATTCAAACTTCACATTCACCCACTTCATGCAGCTCACTTCTGTTGCAGGTCTAACAGAAGAGATGAAAGAGAAAGGCATCTGCAGAGAAGATTCACAAACAGGAAATTCCCTGAGAAACAAACCCCAGCAGCAGGTTGATCATTTCAGAGCTGAAGCAGGACAAGAGCCCTACTAGTGACTTGGCCAGTTTCTTTCACAGCCTCAGAAGTGCTTTTACTGTGTCACATGCTAGTCAAGTCTACATGTTTTGTTCTTGAGACACATGACCTGATGATATTCTCAGTGCATTGAAAGGAGATGTCACCTCAAAGCTATGTAAATCTTCTCTCAGAAAATACCTATTAACACGTGTAACTATGACTAACTTTTCAACCCAGTAAGCAAAAGACTATTTTAACTACAGAATATGTAAGAGGAATTCTGCTATGATCAGAATAAAACATTGTTCTTCGAGATGTCAGAATATTAGATTGCTAGTGGCTCTTCTCAAAGAACAAGAAACAAGGCACGAAAAGAGTAAATCCTTCCAGGAAAGTCCCACACAGAAGGTGGGACCCACCTCCCACCTGATTATTGTCAGCTATTTAAGGACTTGGTGCTGGAGTTTATTAAGTATGATAATCTGCATGCAAACATAATTGATTAGCCAATCTTGATTTATATCAGCATATACAATAACTAAATACCTGTGTCCAATCATTGAGAAAGAAAACAAAACAAGCACAGTATTTACTGAGTCACAAAACCACACAAGAAGGAGAATTTGCCTATTTCAATCTGCCAGATTGCTCGAGGCTTAGTCCAGTAAGGGAAGCAAACAGAGATTTCATAACATCTCTGGGCTGCTCCCGTGCTGAAGTACTTTTATGCCAAGCATCTCCTTCCCTACAGGCAGTTGTATTTCAGCTTATGACCATTATCCCTCATCCTCCCACTGTGCACCTAAGTAAAGAGCACTGCCATGCTCTTGGTAATCAACTCTTGAGGCACTGGGGAGACTGCAGAGCTCCTCATTTCATTACAAAAGGCAGTCCCATGGATCAAACACAATGTACCTTGACTAAAACTGGCAAACACTTTCTTCACACCTACAGAAGCTACTTCCAAGAAGCCTCACTCCATAATTTTCTATGAGTGGTTGAACAAGTTGCAGTACTCCAGACCTTCTTTCTTGCCTTTCCTACAAATGGGTAAAACAATAACCTTTCTCCAGTTATTGGGAACCTCCCTCAATCTACAGTCTGTCAGAGATCACAGAGAGCAGCCTGACAATGACATCAGCTGGCTTTTCCAGTACATCCAAGTGCATGGTGTGATTCTTGGGTTTGCCCTGGTAAGGGCCAGGAGTTGGGCTCTGTGATGCCTACAGCTCCCTTCCTGACGTCAGACTGACAGGCCTCCAGTTCCCCAGATCCTCCTTCCAACCTCTCTTGTAGAAGGGTTGGAACCCCCTCTTTGCTAACCTCCAATCACCTGGGACCTCCCCAGCTAACCAGGATCAAAGATAAATTATGGAAAGTGGCTTGATGAGCTCTTCTGACAGCTCCTTCAATCCCCTCACATGAATCCCATCTGGACCAGAGACTTGTGAGTGTCTGAATGGCACAGGAGCTCACTCAGCACTTCCTCCTGGATTGCAGGGGCTCTACCAGCTCAGGGGGCTGGTGCCCCTGAGGATTACTAATCTTTCTGTTGAAGGCTGAGGCAAATTTCTTATGGTGTTAGTCATTAGAGGTTTAAAATACTTTACTTCTACTTAAGACTGACATATGCAGGAGGGGAAATAAACAAAATCATAGACAGTTAACAAAATGCACACCCCAGGATCAAAAATAATTCTTGCAATTCATCCCGTAAGAATTCCTAATATACTTTACTTACCTCTGGAATTTTAATTAGATTTAAAAAAGAACGCAGGTATGGTGTTCAAGGACTATTTTTCATAGCAACAATTACTCAAGATATGCCTCCTCTATTATATCTTCTCAAGAAAGCCATTTTTTATAGCTCATCCATTTTTAATTTGATAAAGCCTCTATATTCTGTGCTCCCTTTTCATTTGACCGCTGAGTCTTCTCATAAATGTTCATTTCCTAGCAGCTAGAGCACAATGAACAGAAAAGCAAACCACTGTTCATCTGAACAAAGACACTCCCACACAGTGAAGTATCCGTGTCTGGGAGCCCTGCTATAGAAAAACACATGCCCACAGTTATTCAAAGATTCCACTTCAGCCGCAGTGCAATGCACTGGCAGACATGAATAGCCTTTCTTTTACCTTGTTTATTCAAGAACTATGTTCCACTGGCCTGCTTTTAAGCATTTGATATCCTATAGTGAAGAGATTAAATAAGCCCGACGCCAAATGAAAAACTTCAGATGTGATGATGATTTTTTTGGTAAACTTATGAAACCAAAATCTGAAGGTCTTGTCCTTAGAGAGTAAAAGGCCTTTGCTCTAGGATTTATATTTATTATGCCAGCAAAGTCAATCCTATCTCTAACAGACACTGATTTCTTGATAGGTTCTCTCCTGCCTTGAGTGCATTTGAAAGCAAAGCAACCATCTTTCTAATTTCCACATAGCTCCTCATGTAATTAATCAAGTATACAATCTAAACCGACTTCCTTTCCAAGCACATCATTGCAAATCAGTCATTTGTGGGAGAAAAACATAAAGAGAAACAGAACTGCATTTTACATCTTGTTTAAGAAGGGTCTTTCATACTGTGAAGGTGGAAGATGGGCTATAATAATACAGCATTTAAATAAGTAAATATGCACGGGGCACACGGAGAGCACACATTTGTGCTCTTATTTCTCATGCTTCCAGTGAAAGAGGTCATGACCTTTCAGACTTTAACCTCATCACTTCTAATTTTTCATCTTGGTTCTTGAAAGAGAAATTTAACCCATCTGGTTTTCAGTTTTATGAGGTCAGGAGCCATGAAGGAAAATCTAGCTTTAAAGAAAAAAGGAGATATATAATCTTCTCTCTGTGTAAAAGAGTAGATTATGCAGATGTTTCTGTTATGTCAAGGCAAATTTAAAAGGGAAAAAATATCCTCTGTACAATATTACACATTGATGTCTGTACCACCGTGTATTTCTTTCTGGTTGTACTTACACATTTCTAGTCTCTCTTTCAAAACCATACACAATGGTCAACCTTAAACTCCTGCTCACACAAAGCTATGAAAATCGTGCCTTTCATGTCATCACTGGAATATTTAGCCTGCTGCTATCATGAGGCAATAATTTCATCAGAAGTGATAGTTACATTTCCTACTACAGCAGGGCAGGAACAAATGTCCCACTCTGTCCTCTGCTCTATGGCAACACCAGGCAATCACAGCCAGGACCAAAACCAGAGTCAACTTATGTCTAGGTTGGACATTTCATTGACCAGTTCACACCTCCAGCAGTGCATTTAATAGTGCTGGTGAAAGGCAGGTTGTTTTCTTTTTTCTTAAAAACACAGTAAAAAAGTTTGCAGCCTCCCTCTCCCCAGCCACAGAGCTTCAGCTACCCACCCCCACACCACAGGAAACATTTTACAAACAAAAGAGGCTGTGAGACCTTTTATGGTTTTCAGCATCCACCAAAGCTAGAGAACCATTGTTACAATCTCCTGAGAGATTTATCATATGGGGATACTTGGAAGTCAGATTAGTTCATAGGGTTCTATACATATAAATGATAACAACAAAACTATTAAACAGCACAACACCTTCAACAGAGAGTTAACTCATATTTCACTACAAGAACACTGAATGATGCACCTGTTTCATATCCTTAAGAGTGAAAGCTCATAGTAACAAAATGTAACATGCAGGAATGGTTTTTTTAAGCATTGATTTCAAAAAACAGCAAGTTTTGAAAAATTACAACAAAAAATCATATGTAAACCAGGAGACAATTGCTTCTAATACTATTTCTCTAATTGCCTTACAGTCCAAAGGCCAATCAAGTTCTTGTGGACTGTGTCCACCTTAAGTCCTGTTCCATTCTCCAGCACAGCAAATACACACTGAGCTGTTAATTGCAGTAACGCTAATTAAAAGACAAAACCTCATGACTACATTAACAGTGAAATTGCCAATTAGCACACAAGGCTTCCTCATTACTGCTGCTGCATGAAATCTGAAGCATGATGTGGATAGCAGTCATAAAATAAAAAAACATTTTCAAAATAGCCAAGAGGTCACATTTTCAGCTTACTTCAGAAATACTGCTGGAATCAGTAACTGAGAAACTGACCTACAGGAAAGAAAGAAACTCCTACAACCTTTTGTGTAAACCACTAAAGAAAGATATTGCCATTTTCCACATCTGCATTCACAATGGTTTTCAGAGGAAAGAGTACTTGCCTTGGTGTAGCCACTAGAAAATGGCTTAAAAATTTAAAAATAGGCCAAAGGCTAAGATTTCAGTGGATAATTTATCCTGACTCCACATAAGGCTTCCCCAGAAAGAACTAATGGATACTGAAAGCAGTCCAGGCAATCCCAGTGCCCTTTATTCTACAGAAGGAACACTTAATTCTTGTGTCCTTCAGTCTCTTTCAATGACCATTTAACCAAAGTTGATCCAGATCTTTACAACCCTAGAGCTGCTTCAGGTCTCTCTCTACTTTTTTTCTTTTCTTTTTAAAGGTTTTTAATACTAATTCAGAGGCCTCGTGGCAAATAAAATGGAAATACTTTCAGTATTATCTTCCCTGAGACAACTGGAGTAGGTATTTGTCTTCCACTTGCTCCCTTTTAACCAAGCATTTTGTTGACCATAATCAATTTCTTCACTCAGGAGAAAAATGTGCAATTATCTACAATGAAGAAGGTGTGTCTAAGGAATAGGGTGGGAGGGGGGGAGAGAAATCAATGGAACCATCTGTCTGACATTCCTACAACATTATAAGAGACTTGTAATTAACTGCTTGCCTACCAAAGTCTGCCAGCTTTAACTCCCCCGTGTCACTGATCAGAAGGTTCTGTGGTTTCAGGTCCCTGTGCAAAATGTAACGCTGGTGGATGTAAGACAGTCCTCGCAGCAACTGAAATAAAAATAACTGAAAAAGAGGGGGACAAAAAATGACCTCTGTTAATATTTTGCATATAACCACAGGTGATTTCTTCACGATATGCAGGGTGCTTGCACATTGCAGTAACATTGTGTCAGAATTCCTCCCAAACTGGCTAGCTCCCACCCAAATTTAACACAATGAAATTTCCATCTGAAATATACTTACTTTGAGAGGACTAAACCCAGCCTCCAAGCCCTACTATGCCATAGATTCAATATGATTGCTTTAAAAAGAACAAGAGTAATACACCCATGTGCAGAAGGCTTGGTTTCTACCAAATTATAATTGTATTTCATTTACCCATATGGCCTTAGAGATTAGGTGGTAGCCTGAAGACAGATGTGTATCTTCACTAATTATAGGAAACAACAGTACAGGGTGGATAGGGATGGGGAGATAAGGATGGGGGATGGAACACTGAAGCTAAAACAAAGAAGAAATTAATGGTATAACAATAAGGCCCATGTACCCAAGGAAATCTGCAAGTAAAATAGATTTTATCCTTCGAAGTCTATTTTAATGGGAGTTTCTTATGTATTTTTCATTAGGAAATAATAACTCTCACTGAACCTAAAGATGACTTTTGAAACCTACTTGCAATAGTCTTTAAGGTAAATTTAGACAGAAACCTAACTCACTCCATCTCCTGATTTCTTAAGAGTCCTTCCCTGGACTCTGTAAATGCTTACTCCTAAAACTAAGCATTACTACTGTGTATTCTGTAATTTACAATTATGAACAAAGCACTGGATGAAGAAGATCTTTTGTCCTCCCCCTTGCACGTCTCCCATGCATGGTTCTCCTGCATCCTTTCAGACACCTGCTGCAAAGGGCTGTGTTAACCATCGTGGGTTTTGTCCATACAAAGGGTGAATAAACTCCCAGGAGTTTTCTTTGCAGTTAGGAAGGAACTATCCCAATGCAGAGACCCTTTCTTTCGCCTGATATATTGTGAGAAATACTTCAGCTTCTAAATGTGAACACAAAAATCCCCTCCAAAGCTAAACAAGGAGGATCCAAGAACAGATTTGGACTTCGTGCCTCAGAGCTCAGAGGACAGCAAAACGTTCTCTCTAGAAGATGTGGAAACCACACCAAAGATCTGGGAAAAGTCAACTCAGGCACACGAGGATTTCTAATTAACTTGCAACACAAGCATCCTATTCAGTGATTACTGAAGTGAAGAGACATTATAAAAAGGGTTACAAAATCTGATTATAGAAGAGAATAAAGGATGACATGAAAGAAACAGAAATGTCATGTTACTGAAGGCGAAATGAATTTAATTGCATTTCATTTTTTCCCTGAGTGCAGACACAATGCACTCTATGTTTAGCTATTTAGCCAGGGCACAAAGAGCCATATCAATCACCTTCTTGCCAGGGCTGGGTCTAACAATGTGCTGAGGAAACCTAAGAGCAAAATACAGAAACAAAGAATAGCAGGAAAGTCATAAGTAACATGCACATTCTTTTTAAAATTGTGATTAACGTGGAATTCATTGTACGTAAAAACTATTTTAATAAGAGCAAGAAGCAGAAATGGTTTTCATTACAGCCTAAAAGAACAATTTAATTCTATTAAATTACTTCAAAATAATATATTTTTAAAATAAAAATATGGACAAAATAACCAGTTTGCTAGGCTAAATCAGTGACATTTAACTTCAAACATTATTTTTAAATATACAAAGAAATTTCAATTATCATGGTAGCTTACAGCACTGTAATCTTTATAATAAGTCAAAATATATTTATTAATGTCTCTTATTTGGCTTTAGTGCAAAGAGTCAAGTGACTTGACATAATGTGCTAAAAAAAATGCCCAGCAACTTCACAGCTGAACAGAACAAACATCTGCTCCTGAGGACAGCTTTGGAATGTAGTTTTATTCCAAACTTATAGACATGCTGTACTCCTTAAGTACTTCCCCAAAAGTTAATTAATTCACTCACACCTCCTTGGAGGAAGCCACCCAGCCCACAAAAAGAAAAGATGAATTGGAAAACACTGTTTCTGATTCCTCACAAAGCTCGTCTGCCCTCTCACTGTCAAGCTCTCTCTCCTGCCCTTGAGGAAAGCCTTCTCCAAGAAACCTGTTTTCTTTCCAGATTATCTGCATTACCTTCAAAAGGACAAAAATGAATCCTAGAGGAGGTACAATCAATCCTTGCCCATATAGCCAGTCTGAAATCGACATACTTCCTATCATGGTCACACTCTCATCTTCTTCCATCCTCCACCTCACTCAATTCCAATCACTATGAAACCTCAGCCTGGGCTTTTTTCAGGGGTTTTTGAACAAGCAACTGAACTGCAATGTCTCAAGGCCCCAGGATGGCTGGAATTAATAGCAAATTCAACATGCATTTCCACAGGGAGTTTATGATGGTAAAAACAACACAGATACATAGCTCTTTAGCTTTCATGTCAGTAATTTCAATATTTGCATGGTCATACACAAGGCTGTATAGGTATTTGAATAACCTGCAATAAACAAACTAAGACATCTTTCACTAAAACATCATTTGTGTACAGTTTCTAGCTTATTAGTAAGAATAAAGGGTTTGGTAATAAAATTAGGTTCACAAAATGACAAAAGTCATTGTGGTGAGAGTTGAAAAAGACAGAAAACAGGACAGAGATTTGTCCTTAGAAGTCAGGTTTTCAGCAAAGCTTAACATCAGGAAGCTCAATGCTTCACATTCAGACAAAAAGCCCTAACACTTGTGGCTTCAAGTCTTGCTTATTTATTATAGCCATTAAAAAATACCTTTTTTCCCNTATGCAGCTCTCACTTTAATGAGCAACATATTTTAATGAAGACTTTCCATTATCAGCAAGAAAAATGCATGCAGGTCAAAGCTAATTCAGGGTTTATGGACTGTGATATTAAAAGAACATTAGCAGTTCTTAAAACTTACAAGAGAAAGCCCTCAACTCCACAAAGGGGTGACTTAGTACCTACAAAGTCCTTCAAGTGTAATGCCTGGATAGCCATTTGAGCTATATGCAACATTTGACCAAATGCCCACAGTAGTTGTAAAATACAACATTTTCTGAGAGACTTGTAGCTCTCTGGATGAACAGCCCAGTTTTCCTGGTGTTTTAATGAGCCTGGGTGAATGTACAGTCTAAAGCCTTGTAGGCAGGCATCCAGTGGCTGCCTGGTGGCCCTGAGCTGCAGAATGCTTTACTAACGAGCTTGTAAATTAGACACTGACACAGGCCATGCAAAACACATCTAAAGGGTGGGATTGAGAGCAGCTAACACTGTCTGACTTAGGTTCAGAAAGCTCTTTCCAGTCTAACAACGAAGGGGAACACTCTTGGACAAATAATCTGCATAAAGTACTCAGATGACTCCATACAGTTGCCCTCCATTATCAGAGGTGGTACAGCTTCTGGCAAAGGATACTGGGGTAAGTGAAAAGCAGAAATTCACAACATGCATAGGGAGATTCTCCAGAAAGTGTACCATTTCCACACAGACTCTGCTGAGGCACTGAGGACCCCAATGACAGAAAGGATACTTGCCAAGAGAACATAATAATGATGGCTGTGAGAGCTTTTGTAAGTCTTTCTGTGATAGCAAAGAAGGATTTCTAAACTATTTTCTTCATTTGAGCTCCCTTAATTCATGCTGTACTGTGGGAATAGAGGACCTGGCCCTGGATACAGAAGTAGAAAGCTACATAGAGCTAGAAAGCTACAAAGAACTTTTTAGTTTACAGAAGATGCACAAAACTCTTAGTTCTGCTCTCTTGGCACCAAAAGACTGCAAAAAAGGCTGAGATAATCTGGACCAGGAGGTAACATTATTTCAGAAAAAAGCTGAAAGTAAGTCTGAATTAATGTGTCTTTCCTTTAGCAAACTCATACTGCTCTATTAGTATAGTTACTTTTGAAAAATAATACACAATACCACACAAGCTTTATTATCACTCATCATTAGACAAATGCTTTTGCTTGCTCTATGTATCAAAGCACCCTGTCTGGGTATCAAACAATCATCTGAATTCCCAAATGTGTATTCAGCATCAATCAAATCATATTTAGTCTTAATAGGCCATCAAATCTAAAAATACCAGTAAAAGAAACCAAACTTGGGACATACCATCTCATGCTTGCAACCACAGAAGTTCTCCCTATCATCCAGAGGACAGTACAGGCTTCTGTAAATTACTGACTATTCAAAAAGGCAAAAGGAGATGATAAATCACTCTAGTGCCATCTCAGAGCCTTGGAAATAAACACAACTGAACACATCACTCAGTTCCATTTGGGTTCACTAGAAGGTTTGGGAGTTTTAGAACTACTTGTTTTAAATATTACCACTAGAAACAATGACCTGGTAATATGTACTAGCACAGAAGCAATGAGAAATGTCCCTCTGTGACTTCTGCTGGCATGTCAAATGCTCATCAAACACAATCTTCTTTTTTATTGCACTTGGTTTGCTATTCATTTCCCCCTTCTCAACCAGGATAAGCTTGAGATAAAACCCAACTTTTCACTTCTATGATCTGGGGAAATACTGAACTTTTTAGGTCAAAGCTTTGTCTACTCTGTTGCTTAAATTGTCAGAAGTTCCAGGGACAAAGTATTGATTTGAGACAAATTTGCATTCCTATGAATAAGAAAAATCTGAATAAAAAATTATTAGCTATTTGAATCTGCAGGATTTTCAGGATCATAATAAGATTTATCTCACTAAAAGGTTTCTCCTATCTGTCTTCCCTGGAATCAACTCAGTTCTCTCCAAAAGAATTTTAAAAAATCCACTTCAAAATGCATTTATAAAGGCTTCTAACTTGCTCCTGCATTCCTTACATGAGAGTCTTACCATGGCAATGTCACACAAATACATATGATACAGCCACTGGAAATCTGCATTGCATCATCACTTAAAAATGTGTATATATGCAGATTTTTCCACTTACTTCCAGCAGAACTGCAAAGGAAAAAGACTGGAATGTGTTAATT